CTCCCCCTCGATGCAAGCGCGATGCCCGATGACGAGAGGGGTCTGGAAACAAAAGAAAGGGCCCCTCATTCCCTCTCAATACTCTCGAATCCACGTGACTCACAGATTTGTTAACGGATTCAAAATTGGAAACGGACCATTTTCACACGAGCTTTATTTGGCGCAAGAAACGAAACTACAATCTAAAGGGAAAACAGATACGCCGAGCTTAGCTACCAACTAAGGGTCGGTTTCCTCGGATTAATCAGCAGTTTTTTGGTAAAATGTGCACAATCATCAGAAAAAAAAAAAAAAATATATATATATATATATATATATAATACATATCTGTATCTAGGTGCTTGTTAAATGCCCGCACTCATTAATCCAAAAATTTCAATGCATATTTCAGATGTGAACATTATCCAAGTCGTTCAGTTCCTAAGTTCTATTAACATTAATTAGTAAATCCATGACAACGCTAGAAGGATTGAACGTAGTAAATAAAAATAAGGGAAGCGATAATTTAGTACTTTATACAAACAGTAAATTTAAAATTCCTATTTATTTATTTACCTACAAAGGTTTAAAGGACAGATAGCACAGAGACAGATTTTCTTTAAAAATATCACACAAAAATAATACTGTTACCATACACCCACCGTAAAATATTCAAACCTTGTTTACAGTATCTCTACATATAATAAAAGAAAGAGTCTGTCTGTGTATGTGTCTTTCGTTCGCGCTAATACACCCACGGCTACGAAATTTGGAACATAGGTGCATCTAGACAAGAGCCAATGCCCTTCGAAGCGATTTTTTCGAAATTCGAATTAGAATTTTTTTATTTTATGTTTTGTGACAAAATCGCGTCATTTTGAGACATAATGGGCTATAGGAAAGCGAGATTTTACTCTACACACTCCATTTTCACATCATCATGAAACATAGGCACTTAGCTATTTTACGAACTTAAAATAAATTTCGCGTTTCAATAAATCGATTCAATACGAATTTATTTAACAAAGGGAGCTTAACACCTTTTCAACGGGATTTTTTCTAAAAAAGTTTTTTTAAAAAATGCACAGTTTATTTTTCTTTGATTTTTCCATACCTTAAGCTTTCATCCTTGCGACTGCTTTTACAAAAGGAATTTTGGAAAAATGATAATATTTTTAAAAAATGTTTTAAATGAAGCTTCCGAGTACCCTTCTCACATCTCAAATCTTTAAAAATGTGATTTTGGCAACAATTTTCCTGTCTTATTGTTGTTGATAGATTTTTGATGAAATCCCATCATTTTCAATAGTTTCATTCTTTTAGAAATATGGGTTTAGAAACCATGTTTCATCATATTTCTTATGTCACTGTTTTTAAGAGATTGGCATATTTCATTGTCATTTATATATATTATATATATATATATATATATAATGTTTCATCATATATATATATATATATAATCATTTTAATTGATTTTTTTTTTTTTTTTTTTTTTTTTTTTTTTTTTTTTTTTGATAAAGTTGTTCTGCAGAGTAAAATTCTGCACGGAATTTATGCTTTTTGAGTTGCTTTCATGTTATTTTTTGCTTATTTCACTGTTTGTAAGATACTAAAAAGTTTTGCATGATTTTTTTTTCTTCAAGGGAAAGTTGGTTAATTTTTTATTAGGATAATTAATACCTGTATTAAGGGATATAGCTTATTTCATTGTAATTTTTTTCTCTTGAAAATATAAGAGAAAATAACATTAATTATACTTTGCTTTTCAGAATTTTTTGTTTTTTGTGTTTTTTTATGTTATTTATTGCTCATTTCACTGTTTTTAAGATATTAAAAAGTTTTGAGTGATTTTTTTAGGAAACAAAGTTCTTAACCTCCTTTATACCATTCGAGTTCTGAAGATTTTGCAAAGGGAAGTTGGTTAATTTATTTATTAGGATAATTAATATTTGTATTAAGGGATATTGCTTATTTCATTGTAATTTTGTTATACGTAATAACTTTTTTTATAAAGTTGTTCTGCAAAGTAAAATTCTACGCAGTTTTTAAATTTAACGTTTGGTGCTCCCTTCAGCCATTTTTCCGATACATTTAAAAGCCAGACGAAGGCTGGCAGCGAAGCTGCTAGTATACAAAAAGACTTCTAATTTTCCAATCACTCTTCTGTTATCAATTTCGCTATTTCTTTCATTGTGATTTTGTTTCACCGATAGTAAATCATCCTCAGCTCCATTACTTTAAAACTTTACCGAATGATGTCCCCTGACACTTCCCCACGCTGCCAATATTCAGGTGCACTGCTCGGTTTTGTATTCATTAATTAATGTTAGGTATTAAAGTTTTTTAATTAAAGTAATCTACCTATGTTAGCTATAAACGGATTATCACGCGAAATGCATTATTCTTACAATTCTTATAAAAACTGCAAAAAAGTGTGAGTGCGGTCATTATACGGGTCAAACTTTTTTCCTTACATTCCTTCTTGAAAATCAAAAAGCAAACATTACAGGGGCGCTTTACGGTATACAGCACGGATGTCCAAACTTCATGACAGTAGAAGCCGCATGTTAAGATTGCGGAAAATTCAAAAGCCGAAGCTACATTTTCGCAACTCTATATTTACATCGGTTTAAAACTAATAACATATTTTCATGAAAGGACACACTTGAAGTAAATAACTGTATAACTTAGATGCAGTACTTATTCAGATTTTTAAGATGTAAAATTAGCGTGCAGCTTTAATTCAAAGTGAATATATTAACAGCGAATTTCCGCTGATCTCCTAATTCCCAAAGATTGGGTCTAAAAACTTAAAATGATTTTGAAATGGGTATTTTGCAATAACTGTTAAAAAATCATTTTGAATTTTACTATTTTTTCAGTTTTTAAATTTATGTCACACTAGGCTTGAATTCCAGCGCGGCTATTTATTATTATTATTTTGTTTAATTTTCCAGTTTTAAAGAATTCCGAGGCTTAAATTCAAAGTAATACGGTAATGAGAATTTGGCATTTTTCATATAATTAAATTTTACATAATTAAAATTAAGTATAAATTTACTAAAAACTTTTATTTCTTCGGCTCGATATTCAGTAAAGTTTGTTCCTACTACATAGAAATTTGAAACTATTGTGCATGCAAATGAATATTCTTTTTCACATAGAAAAAAAAAAAATATTTTCTTGGCTTCCTCTGTTTCCTCGAGCTCTTTGTAAGTATTGATTGGTTGCAGAAGTAAACTGAAATCATAACGGTTTTTCTAAATATGCCATTAAAAACTTTTCATTTTGAGTTAAGAATAATATATTAATATGAAAAATGATATATTGATTTTGCTTTATTTTAAATTTACACACACTCTATTAGGGAGGGAAAAACAAATCTTCTAGATTGTTTTTAATTTCATTGAAAAAAGTTTAAATTTTTTTATTTTAGTGTTTCATTTTACTGTTCTTTCATTTGAAAAGATTCACAAAAAATATAAAAAAGTGAACTGTTACGCAAATACTTTTTCTCATGTTTTTTTGAGAGAATGAACCTAAAAATTAGATTTTTAATTTTGCATTTTACTAAATTTCGTTTGTATCTTAAAAAATATACGTATATAATTTTAAAAACGTCATTCTTAAATTTGTTTTTCATTAAACGAAAATTTTAAATTTTGCGTTAATTAAAAACTTTTAGCATTAAGTATCCTCCCTTATTATTATTATTCTTATGCGAAGGATTCAAGAACTTTTTAGGATTCATATTCGAGAAAATTTACTATTCGTTCCATCTTCCACTAAAGCTATTACGGTAGCTTGTCAGATTTTTCTTTTCCATTGGCAATGTTCCCATTTACGGTTTACCCACGTTCTATATGTCACGGTCAGCTGCACAACAGAAAACCATGTGCTGACTCCAGCCAGGTATTTTCAACACTAATAAGCCTTTGCTTCCGCAAATTTGGAGAATATCAACCACGAAACCGCCAAAGGCTCTACCAATTTTTGAACATTTATGCTGATCATGCACAATTCGATTACTCTTCTCCATAAAAGAATTCAAAATACGGCAGATATGCACGTATGTGTTTTCCACACATACTTAAGTTTTTGTCTCCGTGGCAGCAGCCTTACAGCAGAAGTCCTTAAATACTTTTAGACTGCTGAATCTTTGAAAGAATCCTTGAGATTTTATTCTTGCTGTTTCCTTGATTTTATTCATTGTTCTTTTAATTAATAAAACTACAAAGTAGTTATCAACAAAGAGTGTCTAGCCTTGTAAATATATGTTTTAGAAAAAAAAAAAAAAGATTCTGACCAAGATACGTAATTAATTACATAAGAACAACCTTTACTGATTAAAATACTGTTGCAAAATTTGCAATCATAAAAATTACCCCTTGCATATCTTTAAAATCAAAAGAATTTGCTATACGATTAAAAAATAAAGGATTTAAATTAGTAAAAAGTGTGCTTATTACTTTTAAATCGATAAGTTTTGAGAAGAATACGACAATAATTTGAAAGATAAGATATATATACATCTAACGACGAAGGGCAACACTCTGGCAACGGCCTATTTACCATTTTACATGGATAATAAATTAAAATTCTTATATTTCGTGTTACAGCAGCTCTACCAATTTGCGCAGATGATAATTGCATAGCAATGTAATTTATCTAAAAATTTTATTTAAAAATTAATAGCAATGTAATCTATCTAAAAGTTTTAGAAAGACTGTGCTGCAGACACTTCTAACGTCAGAACGTTAAATTCAACAAAAAACTGAATTTCGCGTGCAGAACTGCAAAGAAACTTAGAATGCTTTCAATTAAAAATAATAACAATAAAATAGAAAGATAGCAAAATATACCACAGATAAACATTTGTCAGTGTCATTTTTCACCATTTCATGCGAAATACATTAAAGTTTTTATTTATTTATTTTTACTCTTTTAATTTTTTTGATATCTTTAGGTGGTTCTCTGATGAAGATTCGCATGAAATGAAATAAATTGCAATCACTTACCCCTACCCGACGAATTGGATATCGACGGGAATACATTAATTCCAAGCGTTGGGCCCTCCCTCCGGTTCCAGGCACAGGAACATCAGGAAATCCAAAAAATGGAGGCACATGCGTCTGCTCTGAGCATCGGAGCCTGAAACGATAGCATAAACACACGTCAGTTTTGCGAACACAACAATCAAATTACATACGCTTATTACACCAGACCGTCGACATAATTTTCGCTAAGGAAAAAAGCCATAAGAATTCTAATATTATAAGCGCAAAGTATCTATCTATACAGTAATCCTCAGTGTTATGTAAGTAATGCGTTTCGTAAACTCTTACGCAATTCGAATTTTGCGTAAAGCGAGATTGTAAACTGTTTAAACGTAGCTTTAAGAAACTGCAATATTTATTGTCTGTACGTATATTATTTGCACAGCATTATTTTATAAATGATACATTATGCAGTGCAACGTATATTTTCAAATCACATTTTATTTATTCGAATATAAAAGTACGAAAAACATTCAAAGAGTATAAAAACAATTTATCTGTACGTATATTATTTGTACAGCACTATTTTACAAATGACACATTGTGCAGTACAACGAATATTTTCAAATCACATTTTATTTTATGGAATATAAAAGTATGAAAAATATTCAAAGAATATAAAAACATGCTTAAATAAAACTTTACAAATAAAATTACGCCAGTTAAATAACACTTTTCAAGACAATCATTTTGGCTTTTTATGGAAGATCTGGCGCTGTAGGTGGATGGTTGTGAAAAGAACTGCTATTCTCTGGCAACTTCTACCCCTCTTGATGTTGAAATCTGAGGGCTGTCGCGGTCGTTTGAGTTCTTATTTTGACTAGCTAAAAAATATAACTAGAAACGTGACTGAACAAGAATGTGACTAGAAAAAAAAAACTGTGTTTATTGCTTTTAGATCACTCGGTTTATTATTCAATAACCTTGTAGATTAAGCCTGAAAATATCTTAGGCTTTACTGGATGACATTACGCTGGTACGTCGAAGATAAAAGTGTTTTAGTTCCGGCCGTGGCAACACTCTGCTTTCTTATGCACGAGTTTGTTAATTAAAACTGAAAGATAAATATCTTATATTTTTCCGAATGGAAGCAGTCTTGCGCTCTGAGGATAAAAATGTTTTATTTGGAAAAGTGTTGCCAATGCTCACTTACAAAGCATTGAGTTTTTTAATAAAAAAAATTATAAAGTATTACAAAATATGAAATAAATAATAAAACAAATTCGAAATTCAAAATTCGGGCTTCCAGGTGCACATGTTCAGGTGGAAAACTACATTACTCAAAATTTGATGGCTCTAGGTACCGTCGTATTTTCACAATGTGAGGAGATACTTAAAAATATACTTAAAAATAATACAGAGTGATAATATTGATACTTAAAAATATACTTAAAAATAATACAGAGTGAATTTGAAAAGTAATACGCTTATGTACATACGCATATGCAAATACCGTTTATAGTAAACCGACGCAAAATCCAATTTCGAGACTAATAGCCCCCATTTGGTTAAACTTTAAATGCTCTATATACTAATTTTCTACATGTAATATAAATATGACCTAGTTTCCCTTAGAAATTCTTTATGCAAACCTCCCTTCCTTAGGCAGATAGCCCTTGCGCATTTTGCCGTATTTGATTATACAGGTGCACTTCTAACAGAATGTATACAAGACCTACGAACATTGATAGTTGGAACCAGGTTCCCAGGTTCAAATATTGGTGAATGGGCTAGCTGTATGGATGTTTTTGTTGTTTTGCCCCATATCTAATGTGAATACGAGCCATTTCCTTTAGAAAGCCCTCCATGAAGGCATCACTCACATTATGAAGACCGAGTGTTTGGGTTTTCATTGACTTATTTTAATCAATTAACCTAAAATAACAGATTCAATGACCTTCAATAAGAATAATTTAGCAATAAAACTTTATTACACTCATGTATACTATAGTAGTACCATACTATATAATATATATACTACTGTTCGTAGTTTCACACAGTTGCACAGATCTTCGAAAGTATTAAGAGCGAATACGAAGGCACTAGCGCGCAGGTCTAATAACAGTATTTAAAATATTTAATTAATGAAATATAGATATATATATATATAACAGAATTTTTCAATTATTCGCGAAATTCTATTTTCCACTCCAGAATTAAGCAATTGAATTACAGCAAACGTAAAACTGAAGTAAAATAAAAATATTATTACAGATTTTCGTAGCTTTCTTCTTTGAATGAATGATAAATGATGATATAACATGAACATGAGTGAAACAATCTTTAAAATTATCTTTTGACCCGGACGTGATAAGTCCGGCCAGAAATAGTTAGAAATATGTTAAATACATGCCAATACAGTGAATCCTCTCCTAGTGACTAAATCAGCACCTTTAAAAGACCAGGGGGGGGGAATCTCTGATGGAGGAAGAAGGTTAAGAAATGCCACCAGTTCCCTTAAATGAAGCTCTAATTAATGTAAACAATTAGACTATAAAGTAGTAAATAATAAGATGATTGGTGTACTTTACGAAGTTCAAACTGTTTTAGAAAGGTAAGTGATTAACCAAAAGACAACAACAGATGGCCTTTATCTGATGAATATATCAATCAATAAGTATTTTTTTCCGTTTCTAAACCAAACTGAAAATACAACTCTTCAATGTTTTTTCGCTTTTACAAATAAGATCTGCATTCCTAAAGTACCATTTACTTACTATGTAGAGACATTAGGTATTTTTTAAGCAGGATAAGTGAAAAAAGAGCAACGCCTTCGCCGGGACTCGAACCACGGGCCTCTCGAATACGCTACGAGCGTGCTGACCACTACACCACGAAGGCGGGAGAAATACCTCATATACTCCTCCCTTTTAATAGGCAACTGGGGTTTTAGGGGACCCAATAGCCAAATCCTGGTGGTGGAGAATAATCATCCACCATCATTTTTAGTTCGGTCGCCACTGTAGAGACATTAGGTATTTAAGTAAGGAATGATGAAAAATGAGCAATGCCCTCGCCAGGACTCAAACCACGGGCCTCTCGAATACACGCTGAGCGTGCTGACCACTACACCACGAAGGCATGTAAGAAGGCGGAGAAATACCTTATAAGTATATTTCAAGAATTAAAGTTTTTTTTTTTTTTTTTTTTTTTTTGTACGTTTCATTTTTCTTTGCTACGTTATTTTTTTACTTATCTTAATTCGTAATCAATAAATATTATTCGTATTCGTAATTACAGCGGTTTTAAACTAGAAGGTTTAATAAATCGTTACATTACACTTACACATTTTCATTTCCGTTTAACATAGTTCAAGAACCTTGAACTCCATTACCAGAAGGAAGCCTTGATGTCTACGACAATCTCCTCCACAAGAGGCCAAAATCTTTTGGGAATCGTGGGTGGTCATACTAGAACAAGTTCACTGTATACGGCTAATTTTAAATAAAATTATAAGCTTTCCATGAGATATGAACACTGTTTTATGATACAAAGAATTCCACAAGGATTTAAAAAAAAAAAAAAAGAGAGAGAGAGAGAGAGAGAGAAAGAATTTAAAAAGGGCAGGTTAAAGCCTTCAACTCAGTGTTCATTGATAATTGTTTGAACATGGTGAAATTACTCTCTGTGTTTGTAAGCGATTGCGTTAGTTCTGCAAGGAAAAATTCTCTTTCCTTTTTGCGTCATTCGTATCCACCTGGGAATAATGGCCTTCGCTATTTCTTTTCTTTCCTTTGGGTTACCTCTTGTTATCTTACTTTCGCTTCCTACCGGAAGCGGCTTTCGTCTGATTCGCCAAGGTTCTTATCTTGATATTCCGGATCGTCCGTCTTGGCCATCGACATTATTGATTGGAGACGAAGGATGGGCGGTGACACCTCCATATCCTATTTTTTCTCTGCATATGCGAAGATCTCTCATGCTAAGGTAATTTAGTTGTTCGAAACTCTCTATAACAGGCTTAACCACTTACACATTTATCCCAACTGTTTGGAATTAAAAAAAAAAAAAAAAAATCAGTGATTTACATGTATAAACATACATAAGGATGCTCCTTTGATATGCTATGTATAGTTTATAGTAATAATATTAAAGAATACCTTCTGTTTTGTAAAAATATCATTGCAGGCGTGAAAATTCCGGACCTGTTTGAGATTCTTGATGCATTCATATCTAAAAATTAATTTGAATTGGCTTGAGTGCATTGGTGTGTGTACTGATGGAACTCTCTCCATTTCTGGCTGCTATAGAGGATTACAGGCATTTATTAGAAATTGCCGAATACTCTGTAAACCCATTGCGTTATTTACAGAGAAACGCTTGTGTCAAAGCATGAGTCCTGCACTGAATGAGGTGTTTAAATGTGTAGTGAATGTGATAAATATTATAAAATCTCATCCACTGAAAGCAAGTTTTTTTAAAAACGTGTCAGAGTATGGGAGCCGAACACTCGTCTTTGTTGTACTGTAGCAGTGCACGATGGCTCCCGCGTGGTAATGTTTTATCGCGTACCTTTAATTTGCGACGAGATATTTTTTGCCTTATCTTTTGAATTTTTATTTTGCCTTATCTTTTGAAGTCCATGAACAAAATATCAGTTTTTATATTAAAAAAAAAACTCAAACTATGGAGAAGAAAATTGAATGAAGATGCATGCAAAGATTGTTTTTTGATACCTCAGGAATTTCTGACATCAAATGAACTTATCTTTCTCAAGGTATAAAAACCATGCTCGAAGGACAAAATCACTAATTATCTGGTTTGACGAACACTTTCGAAATAAAAATTTGGATAAGTTTGAATGAATTCAAGATTCATTTAACAACAGTGCTCCGTCTGAATTTACTTCTGTGAAAAAAGAGAATCTTATCGAGTTAACTTGCGACAACGGTTTGAAAGAAAATTCGGCAGCATGGAATTGACGGAATTTTGAATTTCAATAAAAGATGAATATCCCCTTCTAACTGATACGGCTCAGCGGATTTTAATTCCATTTTTGATGTCGTATTTGTGCGATGCTGTGTTTTCGACGGTCGCTGTAATACAAAGCAAGTATAGAGCAAAATTCAATGTGGAAAAGGAAATAAGGATGGC